GTGTTGCCTGCCAGAAACACTAGGTAAGCGCAGAAAACTTTACCCAAGTGACCCAACGCAACCGAACACACACGTGGCACAAGCCCCTCAAACGTCTGTCAGCACCTCTGAGACACGCCCATCCCAGACGGGAATCCACCTAATTTCAGAGCACAGAGTCTTGGCCGCTGAACCACCATGGAAGTCCCCATAATTCTATATTTCTTATCCACAAAACTTGTATAAAACTCGGCCACTTGTTTGTTTAGGCAATCTTTATTTCTTCTAATTAGTTGATGAAGTTTTTAAGTGTTGTGCCCTTATCCCCATTTGCTCACAAGGCCTCTGATTTTTATTGACTGATTTTGCACAGTTTAGGGATTTTTAGGAAGGCATATTTACATTGCAGCAGAACTGACTGTATCGTGTAAAGCATTTAGCACAGCACCTGGCACATGATAAGCACTTATAGCAATTTAACTTGTTAACAGTAAAAATAAAAATTTACGAGGGGATTACTTAAATATCCAAAAAGATTAAGATCATGGGGGCACTGACCTATCCCAGAAAGTATGTGTGAAGCATTTACAATAACACAGGAAGAGGTTTTAGGAATGAAAGATGGCATAAAACACTGTAGCTTTGTAAATTACAACCTTGCATTTTAAACAAAATTTTTTTTTCTCCATAAAAATCAATTATGGGCTTCCCTGGTAGCTCAGCTAGTAAAGGAGACCCCAGTTCGAATCCTGGGTTGAGAAGCTGCTGCTAAGCTGCTCAGTCACTTCAGTCGTGTCCAACTCTGTGTGACCCCATAGATGGCAGCCCACCAGGCTCCCCTGTCCCTGGGATTCTCCAGGCAAGAATACTGGAGTGGGTTGCCATTTCCTTCTCCAATGTGTTAAAGTGAAAAGTCAAAGTGAAGTCGCTCAGTCGTGTCCGACTCTTAGCAACCCCATGGACTGAGCCTACCAGGCTCCTCCATCCATGGGATTCTCCAGGCAAGAGTACTGGAGTGGGGTGCCATGACCTTCTCCGTGGGTTGGGAAGATCCGCTGGAAAAGGGATAGGCTACTCACTCCAGTATTCTTGGGCTTTCCTGATGGTTCAGCTGGTAAAGTCCGCCTGCAATGTGGGAGACCTGGGTTCAGTCTCTGGATTGGGAAGATCACCTGGAGAAAGGAACAGCTTACCCACACCAGTATTCTGGCCTAGAGAATCCCATGGACTGTAATAGTATGTCCATATTTAAACAAATTTTTTTCTCCATAAAAATCAATTAAGTCTGGAAGGAAATCCACACCAGTATTCTGGCCTAGAGAATTTCATGGACTGTAATAGTATGTCCATATTTAAACAAATTTTTTTCTCCATAAAAATCAATTAAGTCTGGAAGGAAATATATCAAAATGTTAACAGCAATTGATGGGACTTAGGGCAATGTTTTTCTTTTTAACTAAAAAAAATTTGTACTGTACTCCTAAGTTTGCAAAATCATAAAACTTCTGAAAGCTCAAAGACAACATGACAACTAAAGCAATCTTCAGGAAGCAGAAAAAAAAATCTCAGCCTGTTAACCCAACCCTTCAGGTCCACAGGCTCCCCGCCTCTGTTCAGCATTTAGGGGCCTGCTTCATCCCCAGCTACGAGAGTGGGCACACCTGCTAAAGGCAGATTTTTCCATTCAACACCACACCAAACACATCCCTTTCCATCCTGTCTTCAGAATAAAGATTATTTCCAAGGGCAAGAATTTTTAAACTATATAGCCTATGACTTTTACTTTGTATCTAATAGTAAACTAGAAACTATTTCTCTCTGAAATCCATTTGAAATCACTTAAGAAGTAGGTGAGAGTGAACTTGACTTCGAACAAAATCAATCTTACATACCTCTTTTTCACCAGAGATAAACTGGTGGCTTATCAGGGAGAAAAGGGGAAAAGAGGCTCCATAGTAGCACTAGTGGTAAAGAACCCACCTGCTAATGCAGGAGACGTAAGAGCTGTGGGTTCAATCCCTGGGTTGGGGAGATCCCCTGGAGGAGGGCATCGGCAACCCACTCCAGCATTCTTGCGGAGAATCCCATGGACAGAGGAGCCTAGAGGACTACCGTCTATGAGATCACAGAGTTGGACACAACTGAGCAACTTAGCATGCACGCACGCACGCACACATCTTGACTGCTAATGCTTAGGCTTTGAGCCTCAACAACACCCAACAGGAAATCTATAATTGGCATCCTCTTCTGGCAAGTCTTTGACTAATTGGGATTCTCGTGACTTACTTTTTTTAATATTTATTTTATTTATTTGACTGTATCCGGTCTTACTTGCAGCACACGGGACCTTAGATCTTAGTTGTGGCATGTGGAACCTAGTTCCCTGACCAAGGAATGAATCTGGACCCCCTGCACTGGGAAAGTGGAATTCTAGCCACTGGACCACCAGGGAAGTCCCTCTCGTGACTTCTTACCTCAGGAAGGCCATCACCAACTAGGCTGCCAGAAGAAAAACCTGCCAGTTCTAGGACAGGAAGAGGAGACGCTGCTGGCTGTCACTTGCCCAGTTCACAGCCAACTGCTTACCAAGGCACCGTGTCAAAGCAGAAGTTCTGCTCCAAGATAAAAAACCTAGATGGAAACTCTGTCCTTTGCTGCTGAGATGGCCATGCCAGGGGACAATGAAGTAGGAAGGAGTTACAGCCCCTGAACAGAATCTTTACTGAAGCAATACCTGCTTCATCCGTAAGGGGCTGAGTAAACAGCACTTCTCCAGGGCAGGAGATAGGGGTCACAGAGATCTCTGATCTAAGACGGATCTTCCGAAGCTGTAACTAAGTCCATAGCCTTGGTTCTAGTCCATTCCTTTCCCTGGGACCCAGGGTTCCTGCACATAACATGGGGATGGATTGAATCGAACAGTCACACAGTAAGGCCAGACGGGGAACTAATAAACTGTCCAGGTGTATCAGCCATCACGCAGTTCTCCTGGTTTAGCTTTGCCTTCTCTTAATTAGGAGAAAACCAAGGATTCAGAGGTGGTGGGTGGGGAGCTAGGGTGCAGTCAGCTCACAGCTTTGAGCACTACACTCGCTTTTAAAAGGGTCCACGTGTTCTGGAGAAACAGCAGACAAAATAACTTGTGAATCAGATGGGCTCCTCTGTATGGAACTTTGAGAGCAGTAGGGGAGTTTTACCCAGCTAAAGCAGGCGGAAATGACAATCGAAACTGACAAGGGGAAATCTTACCAGCCTAAAAGCAAAGTTCTGCATTTAGATTTGAAAGAAAATGAACCATATGAAGCCATTAGGACTCATTAGGGTACAGGGACAAGACTAACTGAAAGCCAACCCTGAACAGAACAAACATCTGCCAGAGCCAACAGCATGCGCTGGAAACACCAACTGAACCTTCTGGAGAAAGTGGGGGGACATGGTGAGCTGACCAAGGGTGCAGCTGCCCTCACAGTGGTCAGAGCACACCTGTCTGGGGGAGGCCAGGACTTCCCCGGGGTGTCGGGGGTGGGGGGGCGCACAAGACTGAGGACAGTTTTCTGATGCCTAGAGGGAATAGGGAGCTTTGAGAAGGGTAAAGAAAAGACTGCCAGTGTAGACTGTGCTGGCTGCCCTCGCCCACACGCAGAGCCCCCAGGCAGAGAAGCGCAAGTCGAACAGCTGAGAGCCACCGGAGTGAGTGTCACAGCCTCTCCAACCACAGAACCTTTGCTCCAGTGGGGGTTCCACCCTGTAACAGGAAGTGCCTGCTTAGAGGGGAGGTGGTAACAAAACAGACACCGGGACGGGCCGCGGTGGCCTCAAATTGCCTCCAGCCCCGTTTCTCAAACTTAAAGTGCTTAGCGATCACCTGGGGATCTGTTAAAATGCAGACCCTACTTGATTAGGTCTAGGGTGGGGCCTCAGATCCTGCAAGTCTAACAAGCTCCCAGGTGATGCTAATGCCACTCCTTCAGGGACTACAATTTGGTAATTCAGCTCACCACCTCTTTCAGGTCAAAAAGAGCAAGTCTTGACCAGGAGGGCTGAGAGAAGCCCTATCTGTGGTCCAAGCTCCTGAAAGGGAAGTCCTGGGGTCAGAGGGGTCCACACGCTAAAGGAACCCCATGGAAGGCCACGGTGGCTCAGGAAGGGGGTGTCCTCCTGGAGAACATGTGGGTTTCTCTGGGTAAAGGGTTTCCTGGGAGGAAGGAGATCAGGGAAGGGTGGCGTAAAGCCCTAAGTGTTTTTTGGGTCCCCAGTACGACTCAGCAACACAGAATTTCTTCTCAGGACCAAGAACCAGACAATGCCTACAGCAAACGTGTCTAGAATGAATCAGCTCTGCCCCACCCACCCCTCCACAAAAGCTCTCTGGCCTCCTATTCCTCTAGGGGAAAGGTGACTACAGACTGGGAGACTCCCCAGCAGTGACTCATGCACAGACTCAAATCTGACCCCCGAAGCGCAGGATTTCCAGAGGCCCTAACCTCCGGCTCTGCCGGCCCCAGCCTCCATTTCCAAGCCTAACCTCTCACTCCGAAACCCCCACCCCCACGCCCGGTCTCTCCGTCTCTGGCTCATCTTCAGGTGTGTCCCTAATTTAACCGGACCCAACCCTTCACGCGGCCCAGTTGCTCTGTGCCCATCGCCTCGGCACCCTCACAGCCTCTGGGTGGACTCCCCTAAAAAGTACGCCTGGTCTCGGACGCTAAAGTTCCATAAGCGCCCCTTTGTCTCCCCCTGCGGCGCCGAGAGCCGTGCAGGGCGCACAGGAAGTGCTCGGAAAAAGCCTGGGGGCAGCCGCCGTGCCGTCGGGGGCGCAGCGACTGAGCCCGGCTGAGTGAGGGTACCCCCCGCCCCCGGCAAAGAAGCAGGGTCACGGGGACGGGAGCCCGGGACTCCGAGTTCAGGACCCGGCAGCCCCTCCGCGCTCTCCCGAGGCGCGGCCGAGACTGCCCAGGGCCAGTGCCCCTCCCTTCCGGAGCGGCTCCACGCGCCCCGAGTCCCCCAGTCAGAGCCCTCACCTTGTAAACCTTGCCGAAGGCACCGTCGCCCAGCTCGCCCACGATCTCCCACACCTCGTTGGGATCCAGGTCCCGGCGGACATGCTCATATTCGCGGGACTTTCTCTTCTCGAAGGTAGACAGGCGCAGGATGCGGCGGAAATTGGCGAAAGCCATGGCTGGGGGCACGCGAGCCGGGGGGCGAGGTGGCGCCGGCTCCCGCGACCGCGAGGCGGAGGGGCTGGAGGGCACCGCAGCGCTCGGCCCTTCCCCGCAGCCCGACCCGGGTCAAGTGCGCCCGGGGCAGCTCGCGGCTGGAGCACCCGGAACCGCGCAGGCAGCCGCGGTCCCCGCCCCCGCTCGGTCCCGTCCCGGGGCCGCCTCCCGGTGTCGGCCCCGTTTGCGCCGCGCCCCCCGCCCAGCCGGCCAGCCTCGGGAGGCGTTCCGGGGACCCGGCTCCACCTGCCGCTCCCCGGCAACACCCGGAGACCCCCTAATTGGCTACGGGCGCTCCCCGGCTCCGCCCGCCGCCGCAGGGCACTCTGGAAACTGTAGTCCCCCGCGCGCCGCACGCCCGCAAGCAACCGACTAGGCTTTGGAGAGTTTAGGGGGCTCCTTCGGCGAGAGCGTCCCGAGTCTAGGAGGCCCCCAGACTCTCGTGGCTCCCAGTATTTCTGCCGGAGCGAAAGGGGAACCAAACTGGCTATTTACGAGCGCCCACTGATTGTTGTCCAAAGACCCAGAGGGCGACCCGACATTAATCACTGGATCCTCCCTGTGACTTCCCCGCAAAGTTGCTCCGCCCCCGCCCGCTTTTCGGGTGGGGGCGCCGGGCGGGCGAGCCACCAGCCCCCGCTGCACGTCCTGTCGGCTGAGCCGGTGCGGTTCTCCCCGGGGCAGTGCTGCCTCCTAGCGCGGAAGATGCCGGGTCCCTGCGGCAGCGGTCAGTCCTGGAGACCCAGGCTCCCCGCTCGTTTCCCGCCTCCCAGGAGCTCTGCCCACCGAGATCCGCCAACCCGGCCAGGATTACAGGGCTAGGAGAAAGAGCTCCCTGTCGACCTACTATCACATGCATCAGGATGGGTCTTCAGATATGTTTGCATATTAAGTAAAAACTTTCTTATTTTTAATTTCCCAATTGTAAAAAATAAGCTCATTATACAGGGAGGTCTGGCGTGCTGCTGTCCTTGGGGTTGCAAAGAGCTGGACACGACCGGGCAACTAAACAACAACATACATAGAATTAAGTCTTCTTTGACTTAAGACCATCATTCTCGATCCTGCCCATTTTTTACTTGCCGCTGTTAACTGTCTCTAGGGCAGTTACACTTATATCTAAATCTAAGTGGGTTCCAAACGGTGGGCAGCGTGTAAAGCTTATTATGGTAACTCTCCCTCATAAACAAATAGAGCCCCAGCGAATGTCACACTCCAATAGTTTCCGTCCCTATGCAGAAAATTCATGTTGAGGTGTTTTTACCACTCCCGAGCAGCAGGCAAACACCAATTTGGAAAGACACCTGCAGAAGCCTGGGGTGCTGGTAGTGGCCTGCATAAAGGGTGCCCTGAGCAAAGATCGCCAAGCACTTGGAAATGTCTCCACTATTTAGTGAGTGGTTGCAACTGTAGAAAGTCTTCATCACCAGAAAAAGACAGCACAACACTGGGCTCTCAACAAGTAAAACCACAAATAAACCTCCCAGAACAAGCCAGAAGGCAGGTCCTTCATTGTTTCAGTCCACCTGACCAACTCTCCGAAGCGGGTGGGAGGACAGTGGGGAGGCTCTCCCACTGGGAGGAAGGGGCTCTGACTTAGGTCAGTCTAGGGGGTCTGGGAGTTGGAGGCCCAGGTTATTCCCAGGTCCAGCCAAGCCACAAGGACTCTGTGAAAGCTCCAGAAAAAATGAAACAAGAAACAAAAATGAAGAGCTTCACTAAAAAATACTATAAGTGAAAGAAACCAGACACAAAAGACCACACTTTATATGATTCCATGTATAAGAAATGTCTAGAAAAGGCAAATCCATGGGGACAGAAAGCAGATTAATGGACTAAACTGAAATGGACATGAGTCTTTTTGGAGTGATGAAAATATTCTAAAACTGGATTATGGTGATGATGTAATAACTTGGTAGATTTAGTAAAAATCACTTAATTGTACACTTGAAATGGGTGTACTTTATATAAATACTTTAGGAAGACAGAAAAAGGAAATATTTCATTTTTCTAAGATGAGTTTTACTACAACTAAGTAGAAATAGTAAAAGAAAATTGTAGACTACTTTCCCTAGGTAATAGATGGATTAAAAAAGATACTAGCAGGAGGGGACACATGTATGCCTATGGCTGATTCATGATGATGTATAGCAAAACCCATCACAATATTGTAAAGTAATTATCCTCCAATTACAATAAATAAATTTTAAAAAATGACAACAAAATACTAGCAAGATGAAACCCAAGGTGAATAAAAACACCATTACCAAGAAAGTTTTATCCAGGAATAAAAGAATGGTTCTATCCAGAAACAAAAACTATTAAAGGAAGACACTGCGTTGACAAAGAAAATTGCATAGTCTCAGTAGTCACAGAAAAAGCATTTGGCTGTTTTCTTAGGTTGGATTTTCCCAGAGACAAGGATCTGAATACAAACAGTTTATTTGGGAGGTGATGTTGAAGCCCGTAAAGAGAGCTGATTACTGCTATGGCAAACGGGGCTTAACCCACTTAGGTGTTCTGGGGATCAGGATACAGCACACTGCAGACTCAGCCTAAGAGGCAAGGAAACTGGGGAATTTTTCTCTAAGCCTCTCTGTCCTTGACCAAGGGCTGCTCCCTGGGCCAGCGCTGCTAGCTTGCCAGGCTTGAAAGCCCAGAGCACATCTCTTAAGTTGAGACATGTCACGGCACTTTGTACAGCTTCTGCTATAAAATCCTCATATCCTTTTTCCTATAGCATTTGCTAGAATCTCTAGCAAATGATTTTACTGTTATGTTAAACAGTAACAGTGAAAATAACAATCCTTGTCTTGGTCCAGTATTTAATGGAAAAGTGTTTAAAGTTTCTCCTTTAAGTATGATATTTATGAAAGACTGTGGCAAAAGATCTTAATACGTATGTGCTCAGTCACTTCAATTCTGTCTGATTCTTTGCGACCCCATGGAACTGTAGCCCACCAGGCTTCTCTGTCCATGGGATTCTCCAGACAAGAATACTGGAGTGGGTTGCCATGCCTCCTCCAGGGGATCTTCCTGACTCAGGGAGCAAACCTGCATCTCCTGCATTGCAGGCAGACTCTGTACCCACTGAGCCACCTTCTTGCTATTTCTAATTTGCTAATAACTTTTTCTCATAGCTGTAGAACTGTATCATATTTTTTTCCACATTTACCATATAAGTTAATCTTATGATTAATTACATGAGTTTTCTCATCCAGCCTATAGTCATGGTAAATTTCACTGATTAAATACTCTTGCATTCTCAGAGAATATTTTATCTTCCTCTAGAAAGGCTAAGTAACACAAGCCCAAGGTCACACAGCTAACCAGTGGCAGAGCTTGGATTTGAACCTAAGTAGTCTGATGCCAAAGTCTCTGCATCTGTCTGTGTTAACTGCTATGTTCAGTTGACTCTTGGTCATAATGTATATTTATACATATACCATTGACTTTGACGGGCAAATTTTACACTTAGGATTTTTATGTCTATGTGCACAAACCAAACGCACCTATACTTTTCTTGTGCTGTCTCTATCTGGTTTTAAAATCAGAACATTTATTATTCTTTTTTTTTAATTTTATGGACCAATTTAAGATAGGAATTATCTATCTGTTCATTGTAAGTTTGGTACAAAATATGGTTTTAAATTTGCAAAGCTCTAATTCTTAATTAGAGTTGGAGCATGTCTTCATAAGTTTGTTAGATGTTTGCATTTCAGGTTCTTTGTTGGTTCATATTGCTGGTCCATATTCTTTGCCCATTTTCCTGTTAGATTTGCTTTCTCATTTTTTGACTGTAAGATTTAAAAAAATAGTTTCTTACTGAGTTTAGACACTGCAGATGTCCTTCCAATTTATCATACACCTGTTAACTTTCCAATGACTTTTGTTGAGCAAGAATGCTTAATACTGATGTAATTGAATTTTTTTGTCTTAAAAAAATTTTTAAGTCAACTTCATTGAGGTTTTGTTTATATTTAATAAAACGAGTCCAAAAGTTTTGACAAATATATATATCCGTGTAACCATCACCATGGGCTTCCCAGGTGGTGTTAGTGGTAAAGAACCCACCTGCCAGTGCAGAAGATATAAGAGACTCAGGTTCAATCCCTGGATCAGGAAGATCCCCTGGAGGAGGGCACGGCAACCCACTCCCGTATTCTTGCCTGGGGAATCCCACGGACAGAGGGGCCTGGCTACAGTCTGTGGTGTCGCAAACACTTGGACATAACTGAAGCGACTTAGCACGCAACCATCACCATACTCAAGGCACAGAACTTTCCCTCATCTCAGAAAATTTCTTTTCCTTGATCATAAATTAATCCCCACTCACCATCCTCACCCCAGGCAACCACTAATCTGTTCTCTGTCACCATATATGGGAAATGTCTTTCCTAGTTCATGCTATGAATGGAATGATACTGTAGTGCTTTTTTTCTTCTTTGTAGTGCTCTTTTAAGTTTGCTTTCTTTTCACTCAGCATATTTTGAGATTCATCATGTTGTTACATCTATTTGTGGTTCATTCTTCCTAAATGCTGAGTAGTATTCCAGTGTATGGATATACCATAATTTGTTTATCCATTCAGCTGTTGATGACCACTGGCAGTCTTAAGCTATCATGAATAAAGATGCTACAAATGCTTATGAGGCTTTGCATGGATATATATTTTCATTTTCCTAGATGCACCTAGGAGTGCAATTGCTGGATCATACCCTAAGTATATGGTTAACTTCATAAGAGACTATTCAAGTATTTTAGAAAGGATTGTATCACTTTACATTCCCCCAAATGATACTGCTCCAATCATATTGATATCATCAGTTCTTAAACTCTAGCCATTCCAGTGAATGTGTAATGTTACCTTACTCTAGGCTTTTGCCCTCAAGACATTGGCAAAATCCTAAACTACATAGGAAAGAGGCCATGAAACCAAACAGGAAGCCAATAGGCTCATAAACTAAAAGGCTAAGCAGAGCCTTGTGGTCTCCAAATAAAATTTTCCATAAAATGGAACAATGGCTCTTTGGAGAAGTGCTTTCTATATCTAAGACAGGAAATGTCTATCCTTACATCAATATCTGTGCTTTGTCTTGAAACAGAAGGTACAGATGGCAAATATGTACATGTAAACATGCTCCACATCATTAGTCATCAGAGAAATGTAGATAAAAACTACCCTATCCACTTGAATAGGCCAAGTTATGCTGCAATAAAGTCTTCACACAATTAGGATGGATTTCTTACTGACTGTACAGAAAGCTACAAAGAAGGTCGCATCTATCCTAGTGAGAAAAAAAGATGGATGCTCTACAAAACTTTGCTTGAGAATATCAGAGGACTGAGGTCACAAGGCAACCAAGGAAACTGGATGCTAAGAAAGAACAACCAAGGAGAGAAGACACCCCAACTATTGAACCTTTGGCAGAACACGGCTGAAAACGGCAGTTGCCATACAAGTGGTAGAGAAGAACGTAACTAAAGTTTGAGCAAATCATTAGAGGCAAAGTTTGGGCTACCATGTCAGAGTGGGTTAGCTGGAGTTCCCAGATACAAGGCACAATCACATGCATTGGCAAACCCCTTCCCATGTGTCTCCAATGGGTGCTTCTGAGAAAAATTGGGGGCAGGCAGCAGACTGGAGAGTGCCAGTTCTTGCTGATGCAGGAGTAAAGGAGAAGGTTGGTGGCTGCCAGGAGACGAGTATAAGGTCTCATCTACTTCCTCAGAAGTAGCAAAATCCTTCAAAGCAATAGCTTTCTGCTGCTGGGAGAGGAGAATCTGTCACTCTCAAGCCCCAGATGAAAATCCATGGTTCTCACCTCCTAGGGCAAGGGAAGATCCTCTATCTTTTTGTATAGTCACTGAGGAACTCAGGCTGATAGGTAACCATCATTTAATTTTTAATTTTTTTATAGGGGTAACTTTGGTTATGACCAACCTAGACAGCATATTAAAAAGCAGAGACATTACTTTGGCAACAAAGGTCTAGTCAAAGCTATGGTTTTTCCAGTAGTCGTGGATGGATGTGAGAGTTGGACTATAAAGAAAGCTGAGCGCCGAAGAACTGATGCTTTTGAACTGTGGTGTTGGAGTAGACTCTTGAGAGTCCCTTGGACTGCAAGGAGATCCAACCAGTTCATCCTGAAGGAAATCAGTCCTGAATATTCATTGGAAGGACTGATGCTGAAGCTGAAACTCCAATACTTTGGCTACTTGATGCAAAGAACTGACACATTTGAAAAGACCCTGATGCTAGGAAAGATTGAAGGCAGGGAGAGAAGGGGATGACAGAGGATGTGATGGTTGGATGGCATCACCATTACTCAACTCAACGGACATGAGTTTGAGTAAACTCCAGGAGTTGGTGATAGACAGGGAAGCCTGGTGTGCTGCAGTCCATGGGGTCGCAGAGTCAGCACAAGTGAGCAACTGAACTGAACTTTGGTTTATAACATTAAATAAGTTTCATGTGTACATTATATTCCTATTCTGTGTACACAGCATGCTCAGAGGACCATCATCTTGAATGTTACTGGTTACTATGGCATTGGAAAAGACAAGTTAGTTCTGATATTTTGGGAATTGTTTGTTACAGTACTACAGTAGTTAGCAGTCCTTACCCTAATTAACATACTGGCAAAATGCAGTTAAATTTTACACCATTTTTTCTCCCGTCCTCTAGCAGCAACAGATCTTCCCCTATGTAGCTCCTGGTGAGTTCTGACGGCACCCACAGCTAGCTTCTTCATATGACATTATTTTTAGCATTTTTTACAGTGAATATTCATTTAGATGTACTCACACATATTTAATTTCTGGTACTTCTCATTCCTCCCTGAATGTGTTTCCATAGGGGATTATTTTTCTGTGTTCGAAGAATTCCCTTATGGATGTTAATTTTCCCAGTTTTTGTGTGTATGGGTTTATTTTGTTAGCTCCTTCCTTCTGTCATAATTGTACTGCATCTAAATTTTATCATTTTGGGGACTTCTCTAGTGGTCCAGTGGTTAAGACTCCACGCTGCCAAGGCACAGGGGTGCAGTTTTTCCACCCCTAGCCCCAGAACTAAGATCCCACATGCTGTGTGGCATGGCCAAAAGATAAAAAATAATAATAATAAATTTTATCATTTTTAAAGCCTTTTAAAAAATATTTATGTGTTTATTTGGTAGTGCTGGGTCTTAGCTGTTGCACGCAGGATCTTCAGCTCTTGCAGCACGCGGGACCTTTAGCTGCAGTATGCAAACTCTTAATTTTAGCATGTGGGATCAGGTTCCTTGACCAGGGATTAAACCCAGGCCCCCTGCATGGAGGGCATGGAGTTTTAGCCAGTGGACTGTCAGGGAATTCCCTGCAGTTTATGACACTGTTACCACTTTACTCTGCCTTGGTTTGCTTGGATTGACCCACATATTTTTACTACTTTGTTGCTCTCTGTCCCTTCTTACATCCTGGATTTTCTCTCTGTGATCATTCTCTGACTATTCAAAGTTGATCCTTCAGAATTTCTTTTGGGGTAGTCCATTAATGATCATTCTTAGTTGTTTGTGGGTTTTGTCTGTTTGCTTTTGCCTGAACACAGCTTTATCTCATCCTATTTTTTTTCTCTTCACTATAAAAAATTTCAAACATGTTCAAAGTAGAAAGAATAGTAGAAGGTAGTACTCCCATATACTCATCGGTCAGTTCATGTTTGAACATCCCTAATATATGTATACGATTACCCATGAGCCTGGATCACTTTGAAGCACATCCCAGCATCTTATCATTTTGTCTTTTTAAACAACAACCTCATCTGTTGTAATTTCTAATATTATATCCAGTCAGTGTTCACGGTTCTCCATCATCTCATGCTTTTTGGTAAGTTGTTTGTTTTTGTGGGTTTTCTAATACACAACCTATATTAATAAGGGTCCTAATATGTCCATACAGTGTAATTGTGATCTGAAAGACATTAAACTGTTAGTCTATAGATCCTTCTTCCATCCCTTTTTCTTTTCTTGTAAACTTTTATTGAAGCAGTGGAGTCCTTTTCTTTTAGAGCTTTCCACAGTCTGAGCTTTGTTCATTGTGTCTCAGTGGTGTCATTTAACATGGACCCCTGATGTCCTATTTCCCTCATTTATATTTTCTGTAAAATGGTCAAATTCAGGTTTGATTTTTCTCCTAATTCTTTTTCGAAAGTAAAATTCACATAATATAAAATTAGCTATTTTAAAGCATACAGAGGCTTCCCTGGTGGTCCAGTGGTTAAGAATCCAGGCAGGGGTCACGGGCTCCATCCCTGGTCCAGGCAGATCCCGCGTGCCGAGCAGCAACTAAGCCCGTGTGCCCCAGGTACTGAGCCAGCACACCCTAGAGCCCATGCTCCGCAGCAAGAGAAGGCCCCCCAGTGAGAAGTCCAGGCGCCACCACCAGAGCGTGGGCTCTGCTCGCTGCAGCTAGGGGAAGCCTGCGCGACAACAAAGACCCAGCACGGCCAAAAGTAAGCTAACAGTTTTAATTTTAAAAAGCGTACAATCCAGTGGCCTTTAGTACACTGACAGCCTTACTCATCTATCACCTCTGTCCGGTTTGAAACATCTTCATCACCCCACTGGGAATCCATTAAGCTGTCACTTCCCATTACCCTCTCCCCCAGCTCCTGGCAATGGCTGATCTGCTTTTCTATGGCTTTGCTTCTTCTGGATACTTAATATAAATGGGATCATGTAACATGTGACTTTCTGGGCTTGGCTTCTTTCACTTACCATAAGTTTCATCTACATTGTAACATGTATCATTCCCTTTCATAACAGAATATTTCGCTGTATCAATGTACTACATTTCATTTGTCCTTTCATCAGTTTATGGAACACTGGGTTGTTTTCACTTTTTGCCTATTGTGAATAGTGCTGTTACAAACATTTTCTACAAGTGTTTGTTTGAATACTTTTCATTTCTTTTGGATATATATCTAGGAGTGAAATTGCTAGGTCATATGGCATGGGGTCGAAAAGAATCAGACACAACTGAGTGACTAACACTAAAAATAATGGAAATTTCATGTTTAACTTTTTAAGGAACTTCCCTTCAGTCTTGAAAGATGATTTTACTGAGCATAATTTTAGTTGGCTAGATTGTTTTTACACATTGAAACATTACTCCATTATATTTTGGTTTCCATGTTGTGAAGAAGTGGATTGTTAATCATCAGTCCTTTGAAAGTAATCTTTCTTCTCTGATTGCCTTTAAAATCTTTGTCTTTGGTAGAAGATAGTTTCACTCTGATGTGTACAGATAAGTATTTCTTATTTCAGCTACTTAGGACTTCAAGGTTTTGAGAAGCAATACTGTATGGCTACTAAAAAGCAGTGATTATTGCCAGACTATCTGGGTTCACATGCTGACTTCACCATTAATTAGCCTATTGACATCAGGAAAACTACTTAACTTTTCTGAGCCTGTTTTTTTTTAATGTTTTTATTGATATAGTTGATGTACAGTATTATATAACTTACAGGTGTACGACATAGTGGTCCACAATTTTTAAAGGTTATATTCTATTTACAGTCATTATAAAATATTGGCTAGGGAATTCCCTGGTGGTTCTGTGGTTAGGAGTTTATGCTTTCACTACTAAGGGCACAAGTTCAATCCCTGGTTAGAGAACTGAGATCCTGCAAGCTGTGAGGCACAGCCAAATATATATGTATATATTATACACACACACACACACACACACAATATAGAATATATATTCCTTGTATAATATATCCTTGTAGCTTATTTTATACACAGCAGTTTGTTTCTTGAGCCTTGAGCCAGTTTCTTAATCTGTAAAATAGGTATAATAATCTCTGCCTCTTAGGATTCTATGACTAGTCTTCAGACTAAATGAGTTAATATATTAACACACTTAGAACAGTGCCTGGCATGTAGTTACATAGCTGTTTGCTTTGATAATAATAATGAGCACAGTCTGTGGGATGGGTGTCTTTCACTGACTTTGGAAAATTCTCGTTTTTTATTTTTGGCCACCCTGCTTAGCTTGTGGGATCTTAGTTCCTCCACCAGGGATTGAACCTGGGCCTCTGAAGTGAAAGCCTCTGGTCAGCCAGAGGAACTGCCACAATTTTAAATTTTTATTGGCTGTTTCCTGTGATGTCTGACCTAGGAAGAGCTTTACTACCAGAGCTTTTCTCCACCCAACATTCTAATTCTGAGGCAGAATTCTCTGTTCTACTTCAGGTTGCCAGAGTCTTCGGCCTAAAGGGCTCCATGATAAAACTGAAGCGAGGATCGTTTCTGTGGTACCTTTACCTGGACAAGCTGTATTGCTTATTATCTGTGAGAAATGTGAAGGCCTTGGTGGAGTATTTTCACCTTCTTGACGTGCACCGCAAGAAAACCTTGAATGGTCAGTACTTCCTAAGTGCCTCTTCTGGGTCGTTACTTGGTTTTTAATGCATGTGCAGGAGAACTTACGGAACCAGACTAGTCCATTAGCGTGTGCGCCACATCTTCGAAACGAAGCACAGAGAAGCCCTGCCAGCCGAGCCTTGACGGCAGCTCAGTGAGGCAGACAGAACAAGTCCTGGGGTTAGCTCTTGGCTGCACCTGTTACTCCTGGTGACTTGCAGAATGTCATCATCCTCTTTTAAGTCTAATTTTCTTCATCCGTAAGTGAGGCTTCTAATAGTGGAGTCCATCTCATGGTTGGAAAAGAACGATAATGAGGGACTTCCCTGGCAGTGCAGTGGTTAAGTCTCCGTGCCTCCACTTCACGGGCCGTGGGTTCAGTCCTCAGTTTGGGAGCTCAGATGCTTCATGCTGCATGGTGCAGCCAAAAAAAAAAGGGTGATGAAATTAGATAAGGTACGGAAAGTGCTTAGCACAGTGCCCGGCACACTCTAAGAATTTAATGTGTCCATTATGACGACAGCTTTGCTGGTGGCTGACCCCACTGAGGCCTAACCCTCAAGAGTCCCTCAGCAAAACTTTCCTATAGAATGGGGGAACTGAGTCAGGTAATCTGCACGGTCCCTTCTAACTCCTGGTACTTGTGACCGAAGAGTGTTGATGAGCTCAACCCTGCTATTGAGTGCACAACCTAATAGAAGACCAATTACAACACTTTAGGGCTTTCTGTTTGTTTGTTTGGCTTCTGTTTCTCTTTAGGACTAGGTATAGATAAGGTAGGGCTTCCCAGGTGGTGCTAGTGGTAAAGAACTTGCCTGCCAATGCAGGAGCTGCAAGAGATGTGAGTTTGATCCCTGGGTGGGTAAGATCCCCTGGAGAAGGGAATGACTAACCACTCTGGTCTTCTTGCCTAGAGAATCCCATGGATAGCGGAGCCTGGCGGGCTGCAGTCCATCAGGTCACAGAGTCAGACATGACTGAAGAGACTTAGCATAAATAAGGTACCCTATTCACTCACTGTAATCTGAGGGAGAGAAATATCATTTATCAACAAGGAGTTTCTTCCATAAAAATTTTTTAAAGAGTTCATTCAATCCTTATAATAAAGATACCTTCATTTATTCACTTTCAAGCCTCAGATTTATACACAGTATGTCACCAAATCTTCCCAATAACCCAGTCCTAGATACAGCACCTGTAGGGCACCTTGATATAAACAGAAAAGCTGGCCCCAAAACCCAAGGGTTTCTGACTCTAAAGCCCATACTCTTAAGTCTCACCAGTGTTTGCTGAGCAATCTGATCTCCCTGGTAACTAAGTCACTCCCTGCTGATGCAACACCTGAGAGATGAAGTCACACTTGTGTTTTCTGGTCACCAAGGGACCGGATAGCAACCTGGAGGAAGGCACAGGCGTGAGCTCTGCCTGCCAGGGATGTGGTGACGTAGAGCCCTGGATGCTTGGCCCAGAGTCGGCTGATTGAAAAACTATTTGCTAATTAGCTACTCAGCCTTACAGTAAAACACTCCTCAAGAAGCAAGGACACAGGCAGGTGTGTCCCCAGTGCTCACACCTGGTGGGACGTGGGAAAGGAACACCAAGCAGCCATCAGAGGCTCTCAGGCCCTGACACCGTGTTGACTGGTGCACTGTACCCTTGGCCCGCTTCAGCCAGGACTCCAACCACACAGATGTGCTTTACAGAGTTAGTGGGGCCGTCTCTTGTGCAGGAGGCACAAGACAATGTAACTAATGTGTATGTGTGCGTGCTCAGTTGCTCAGTCCTGTCTGACTCTTTGCAACCCCAGGCTCCTCTGTCCGTGAAATTTTTCATGCAACAACACTGGAGTGGATTGCCATGTCCTCCTCTAGATCTTCCTGATCCAGGGACCGCACATGGGTCTCTCGCGTATCCTGCATTGGCAGGTGGGTTCTTTAGGGCTTTAACACTTAAGGGCTTTTTTGTTTGTTCGTCTTTTGGTTTTTGTCTCTTTTAGGACTGGGTATAAATAAGGTAGGGCTTCCCAGGTGGCGCTAGTGGTAAGGAACCTGCCTGCCAATGCAGGAGCTGCAAGAGATGTGGGTTCGAAGCCCTCTGTAATCAGTGGGCAAGAAGAAATCACATGAAGACAAAGTTACACTTGAGAATCTCTGAAATCTTGTGGGTGATCTGTACATACAACCTGTACAGCCACATACCACTGTGTAAACATATCACCATGTTTGTTTCTTCCATCTAACATTCCCCGAGACAGATGATGAGTGAGTGGAATTTCAGGCAAAAACCTTCCCTGTCCTTTAAACTACAGAGTTTTTTCCCTCCGATTGTAAGTGACTGCAGCTGCATTAACGAATGCGCAGAAGATGCGGCTTCCCTGTAGGCAGAGCAAGGCTGTGGAGTCAGACGGCCACCTGTGAAGTCAGCTCTGCCCCTCCGAGTGTGGTCCACACAGCAGCGGCGGCCGCATCACTTGGGAGCTTGTTAGGATGCAGACTCAGCAGTCCTGAGCCAGAGTTTCTGATCACAGCCTCTGTGTCTGCAAGATCCCCAAGTGGCTGGTGTGCCCATTTACCGCTCGAGAAGCCCCAAGCCTAGCTGTCACACAAAGCTTATTGTAAAAGGCTGTGTAGCTGCCTGGGTGCAGTGACATGCAGCACTTAAAGTGCCCAGCACCTAAGGTGCCTGATATCTCCTTTCCCCACCGTTGAAAGCATTTGTGTTATGTAAGCATGAGGCACAGTGATACTTTTATAAAGAGGAATGATTTTTAAATTTATTGTTTTAATTCTCTCAAGTGAAAGACCCAGATGAAATGTCAGCTTTTCCAAGAACATGTCCTGGGTCCCCAGTGAGAACTAAGCTCTCCCTTCTATGCACAAGGAGCACGTTGAGCCCTTTATTGGTTATATATACACACCGGTCTGTTCCACCGAGCACACGAGCTGCGCTTGGGAACCAAGCCCTGCCCACTCTCTCCTTCTTCCCAGGTCCAGGCACCATGGAGTGTGCAGTGGCAAAGCCAGAAACAAAGTATTATCATTACTATTGCCAGGTCAACAAGCTTCCAACAGCACCACCATTTCTGTGGCTCCCAGATGTTGAACATTTTGGAACTGTTTCAGAATAACCCCTCTCATCTCCCTGTCAACAGATGTGCTGTTTTACCACTTCCTTCATCATGTGACTGACTTGAAACGGAACCAGATCACAATTGTGTTCAACATGCTGGACTGGAATGCGGTGGGCGAGATTGGTTTTGACCAGTTCTACATGCTGGTGTGCATACTGCTGGCACAAGAGGCGAGTAGCCAGTCAGGCTCTGGGGCAGAGGCGGCAGAGCTTGGCTGCGGCCACCATGTTGCTAAAGGTAGCACCAAATTAAGAGTGCGTCAGAATTTTTCTTCTTTTCACTTGAAACAGGAAGAAGAAACAGGGCGAGTACTACTTTTGGTTCCTAAATGGTCCATCTATAACCTAGGAGTTCTGAAAGGTTACCCAGCTTCCCTCCCACTTTGCCTTTATAAAGAACAAATCTCATCATATCATATCTCTCCTTGGCACGCCCTTCCAGCTGGTGGGTCTTAAATAATCACCAGTAATCCCAGTTGCCTCTCTTCCTCAGTGATCCCCTTCCTCACAGAATATTCTGAAGGGGATCAATGAGCTAGACAAGACCTGCTCATCTTTGGGTACCCACCTTACCTTGCACATACTCCGAGAGTGTATTCACCTCTTTCCCTCTCCTTAAGGAAGGGCGCCTCGTGTCTTCATCATTTTATCGCCAGCACTGAAATTTTCTCATGTAGACTTTCACTGAACACAAGGAAATACATTCTACTACTGAGAGTTCCATCTAGCAGCACTAATCACTACAGATAGCATCAGTTCCCCTGGAAGGCAGATGCTGGAGCAGGTCTGATACATTGACCACAGCACCCTTTCGGCCCTGAGCGGCTGATTCTGCCTTTTGCTTTTAGCTCTCTAGGGAATGGACTAGTGAACAGATGAGTCTTGATGTAGCAAGTTTAGAAAGTAGTACCAACAATACTGTTCCTTTCCTTATGTTTTTCTCTCAAAACAGAACCATTTGGAAGAGCAATTTCTCTTCCGCCATTCCCGGCCTGTTTTTGAGTTGCTTGACCTGGATGGGGAGCTGAAAATTGGCCCAGACAACTTGCACATGTACAACTTTCTCTTTAATATTAAAAAAGAGCAACTCAGAGACCTCTACTATAACTTCGACATCACAGGTGACCGCGTAAGTGCAAGTCCCTAACATGTGTCCTAGCAGCGTGCGTGCATAGTCGTGTCCAACTCTTTGTGACCCCCTGGGCTGTAGCTCACCAGGTTCCTCTGTCCCTGGGCTTTTCCAGGGACAGGCTGCCATTTCCTCCTCTAGGGGATCTTCCCAACCCAGGGATTGAATCTGCCTCTCCTGCACTGGCAGGCAGACTCCTTACCCCGAGCCACCTGTGAAGCTGTGGCCTGGCAGCCCCTCTGGCCAGAGCTAGAGGACTGTGTCCTGACACCTACAGTGGAGACAGGGGAGGAGGAGGGAAGGAAAAACCCACGGGAGTGTCATGGCACTGGGGTCATAAACACCCGAGGAGACGGACAGGCCTGTAGGAGAGAGGCGTGAGTGAGTGCTACATCGCATAATGTGGGTATAAAGCGAGAGGAGCTCAAAGAAGGAAATTCTGTTAGAAGTTTAGTTGAAAGAAGGAAGTATTTTAATATGGCAGGAATTGGTCTTAAGAGGAAGGGTTATACATTTTAATAAGTAGAAATGAAGAAATTCTTAGATGGGAACACATGAGTTAAATTCCAAGAGAAAACAGTGAATATCTATTTCAAGTCCATTCAGTAAAGGGCCTATTCCCAGTCCATGTTAACTAGCAAGTGAGAGCTACAGTCTAAGCTTTAAAAAGATGGACCACACTCTGAGAAAGCTCAGATGGTAGCCTGAACATGTCTGGACCTGAGGTAGCAGAAGTAAAAAGTGCCCCTTGGTGCCTTTTGAGCCTACAATGGACTGTTTCTGGGTCTAGACTACAAGCAGACTGCAATTACATCCTAATTACTGGGCCTCTTTAATCAAGGTTCCAAGGTTTTAAATGAGAAGTGATTACAATCCTGCTCCCATCTGAAACAAAGTATCAAATCCTTTCTGAAATAACTTTCCTTTTTTCCTTCCCAACACAAGCTTCTTAATTACAAGGAATTTAAGCTGTTTACTATCTTCTCCATGGACAAATATCAGGAGAGTCAAAAAGCAGAGAAAGAGAAGAAGAATGAGAAAGCTTTACTCCAAAAGAAAGTGGCACAAGTTAACGAGAGCCAGAGAGAGAGTCTTCTTGGAACAAAACAGTTTGAAAGTATAAGTAATTACAATTGTTAACATGTCTTAAAAATAAATTTAGAACATCAAAGTAAGTATCTCTGATTTTTACACACGCAGGGTTCAGATGAGCGTTCAACCCACATATTCTTAACCTTAATAACCCTGAGGCCTCACTTGACTCATAGTGATGTAATCACTTCTTTTTTGACATGTCCCAGTTCTGCTGTTGCTTTTCAGATCAACCCTGTCCACTAGGGTCCCTGTGTATCGATTACTAGCTCTTCCTGGAGCTAAGCAGTTGGAAGTTGATGCTTTCCTAAGATTTGCCACAAGAGGTCCAATACTTTCAAAATTCTATTCTCCCAATCCTTAAGGCTAAAAGCAAACTTCAAAATGGAAATGCGGCTCCACGCATAAGGGAAATTGACTTTTAAGGATATGGGGACTGTGTTCTTCCTAGAACCTGAATTACTCTTTGATGAGTTAGGTGCTTAAGCAACTATACCAAATCTCCTAGGGTAAAATAATTATTACATGTCCTTGTATAATTTTAATTTTTTGTGTGAGTAATGCCTTGAATAATTTGTAAGTGTTTTTAGCGTGGGATTTGTGAACCCTCCCTGCCGGACTGTACCATGATATTAAATATAACTACCATTCAGTAAGCGCTTGCTATGGGTGAGACAGAGGCTTCAGACACATGGCTTTATTTATCCTCCTAACCCTGCAAACTGTTACTCTCAATTTACAGATGAGGATACTGAGGTGTCAAGATTAAGAACCTATCTAAGGTTCTTAATGACTCACAGTGGTAGGACCAGAGTTCAAATTCAAGGTGCTTAAAACAATTGATCTAACTCACTTCAGTCCTAGCAGATCCTGTTTAAGTTTCACGCTGACATTTCACTGGCTCAGAAATCTCTTCTGCATAATGCTAATCACCCCATGTCCTTTGACCATAGATTTCAGAGAGGGACAAGTTTGGCCCCTGGAGAAATGCAGCCCAATTCCTATAAACCAAGGATTTCTTAAGGACACACGACGTGATATAACTGACCACAGCATTCAGAGCTCTTAATCATCAACATTGCTTTGTCAACGGGCAACAGACAAGAATACTGCTTATCGAAAATTTTCATTCATAAGTCAAAGTTGTAATAACTGAGATCATGTTAATTACTATGAACATCCTTTATATTTACTCTCATGGTCATGAGATTTTACTTACTTATGAGTAATGTTTAGAAATCAAACCTTCTCTCTTCCCCACAATGGTACTACAAAAACTAAATGTAACTAGCAAAAGACCAAAAAGCCCCCCTGAAACACACATCTCTTGATTTCTGGTTTATACATGGGGATAATGGGATCCATCTCAAGAACTGTTGTGAAGACCAGGAAGATGAAAAGCATCTCACTTAGAACAATGCTCTTCTCCCCTGATTTGGTGAACAGTTAATTCTCCAAGGAGAACACCCTCTGGCAAATAAGTTTGGACACTACTACACCTGTAAGAGTATTGTACTGAGAGACTAGCAGTATCTGGCTGGAAAATGACAGCAAGAGATTAACCATCATTTCAAAGAGCCTCACCACACCACTAGGCTTACCTTGGGATGGGTTTCTGCCTCTCTTCACGCAGCCTCAATAGCTTTTGCTACCAGACAGCCTTACGACCTGGGTGCAGTTCTAGAAGGAGAAACTGTGAGGTCTGAGGAAGGGAAGTCTTCTCTTTCTCATTTTCCCAGGGGAGCACGCTTGAGATATATAAAGGTAACTCAACAATAGTATATGTCTTTTTTTTCCTCAAGCATGGTCTCTAAAGCAATGAAGATATCATTCCTTTTATTGTTTTAGAATGGGGAGCAGGAAGGATTGAGGGATAGCCAAATAATAGGGTATACTAGGTTTTAATTTGGGCTAAATACATTTTTTTTTAAAAAAACTTTATCTGTTGGCCATTCCACATGGCATGTGGGATCTTAGTCCCCAGACCGGGGATCGAACCCACACCCCTGCATTGGCAGCAAGAAGTCTTAACTACTGGACCACCAGGGAAATCCCTGGGCTAAATACATTTTAAACTAAAATTTATTCAATTAAAATTTCAAATTTTAAATAAAAGTTTCATTATCCCCACAGTGAGTTAATCCCCTGTGCTATTAAGGGTAGAGTTTAGACCAAGCACGTTTAGGTAAGTTTTTGGATGGCAGGTAAACTCTATGTCACAGTTTTGTTAGAGTTCCTGGGTCAGCCAAGTGTATGTTCCCTAAGGAATCTCAGCTGTGGGTGAGGGGCAGCACTGGAGGGACGGGAGGACACACGTGTAGCTACAGGCGTGGCTCCAGTTTCAGTCCAGGGCCACGGGGCTACAGGTCCACAATCTACATCAGCTGCAAAGGGGAAAGAATTTCTTGCATTAGTTCTTAGCCAAGGACTACAAAAGGCCAAATCAACTTGGCGAACACCTGCTGAGAGGGGTCATTATTCATGTCCTGAAAAATCTTCTATAATCTGAGTGGGTAAGACCTTAGGAAGAAAACCAAGAAGCCATAAAATACAAGACTGATAGATCTGACCATTCAAAGCAAAAATTTTACATGGTAAATTACACAAAAACAAATGATAACAGATGATAGAGAACAACAAATCCTATATTAAGGGCATTATATCCTTAATATAGAAAAAATATCCACAAATCAAGAGGATAAAGACCAAAATGGATTAGGAAAATGGGCAAACATAGATAATTCATAGGAGAAAAAAAAACAAAAGCAGAAACAAATAGCCTTAAAATATACAGTATAATGCTAAGTTTCACTCAAAGGAAAAAAACAAACTAATCACAAGACACAGGTTTCCACCTCGACTGTCAAAGATCAAAAAGTTGGTCAGGGTATAGCAAAATAAGAGCAGACATAGTCCGTAGCATTAAACTGGTAAAAATCCACTTGGAGGGCAATTCAGCATCTGCTCTCTATATGCATACACTGATCGAGCAATACTCCCTCTTCAGCAATGTATTCCATAGTTGTACACAGACACAAAGATGTAACTACAGAAAAGGATATTTCACAGGAGCACAGTTTACAGTACCAAAAGTCTAGGAAGACCTGTGGTACTCCAAACAATGGAATACCACTGCAGCTATAAGAAGAATGAAGCAGATCTAGCTCTAGTTATAGGGAACAATCTCTAAGATTCACCAAAATCAAATGTATAGAATAGCGTATGTTATTTATGAAAAAGACAAGGCAGGATGGGTGAATATATTCACACACACTAGAGCAGTGGTTCTCACACTGGCATCAGCAGTAGCAGCATCACCTGGGAACTTTTGGAAATGCAAATTTTTGTACCCCCCCGATTCAGACCTACTAACTTGGAACCTCTGGGAAAGGAGTCCAGCAATCTTTATGTTTTTTAAATCTGTGTTTTTAATAAGCCTTCCAGGTAATTCTGATGTATGCTGAAGTGTGAGAACCACTGTGCTAGAATATCTCTAAAGATATCCAGAAAACTGGAAACAGCTGTTACCTCTGGAGAGAAGAAATGCGAGACGAAGAGCAGGAGTCGAAGAGAGACTTTTTGGTATGTTCGGATTTTTTCCCATGTGTGCGTGTCCCCTATTTTAAATAAAAATTCAACAATCAAAACCTGCCACTTTGATCCAAAATGGATAATCCTTCTGAAAAACTGAATGATGGGTTTTGGTTTACAGCATGATTCTTAAAAGAAAAAAACAACAACCTCCTGAGACCAAGGTTTCAATGCAGCAAATAAAGTATAAAAGTATATCTATAAATGACCATAAAAAAAAAAAGACCATGCATGGTTTGATACTGCAGAGTCTAGGTTTGGTGATAATGAACTCGTTATTTACTGACCTGGGAGGCTTTTAAAAGGGGAAAGATCTTTTCAGAAGTTTTATCAGAAAGAAGCAGATTACTCTTACTGTGGACAGTAATAATAGTTAAACACTCAGAATAAAGGCAAAGACAAAGAGAAAAATTGAACTTTTTTTTTTTAAAAAGCACAAAAACCCTACATACTAAAATTGTACACATCAAGTATTGGTCCAATCTTATACCAATCTATTTACAATTAAACAGCACCATGGTTTTCTCACCTAGGTTAGTTAAACATGCCCAGAAAATTGTTATTCAAAGTATATGTTCCTTTAAAATAAAATAAACTCTTAACAGAGCTCAAATCCTCAACAAACAAAAAAACTTTTACCAACCATAGATAATTATATCACCAAATTTACTTAAGAAAAATAGATTTGAACTTTTTTTTTTCCCTCCAGTTGACAAACTTTGAGAGATGCTGCTGTTTAATGTGGCACACAAATTAAGAAACATTTTGATGATGGGGGCATTATACTAAAACACCCTCACATACCTCCACCTCCACATATAAAAATATTCCTTTGGAATTAATGCTGCTGTCTCCTCTTGAATTTAGATTCAATTATCAGCAAAGCTAAATTAAATGCAGCCACAATCTTTAAAATGATTGCATAAAAAAGAGAAACAGTTAAAGCTCTCAGAAACAGGCTATGTTACAATTATAGATATTGTATCTAATCAGGCTATAGGAAATTTAATAACATTTTAAACATAACATTTAAACTAAATTAGCACTTTGTCTGCTATTGAAATTGATAATGGTGCTTCACATCCAAAATGAGTGTGGAGGTCTGATTACTTCCCATTTAAGAACCACGTGAGTGCCTTCTTGCCTCTGCTTCTCCATCTCACGGATTCCCAGGGATTCAGAGATACTGTATGTGCTAGCCACCTTCTCACCTATGGAACCAACTTTGAAAAGGCTCTGAATTAAATACAATCCTTGGCAGCTTTATTCCAGTCATTGTACAGAAGAATCAGGTTATCCCATGGAATTTTTCAGTCTTATAATCTGCAGATGCTTTTTAATTTGCCTCCAGGAAAGATGAGAGAGGAAAATTCTCATCCACCACAACTACAAGTAATACTGAGCTATGGTAAGCACTGAAGTATAAAGCAACGTATCATCATTAGGTCTCACTGCCGATGTTTAAGTGATGTCAGGAAATTTTTCACTAGTAAATTTTCACTAGTAAATTATGACTTGAAATTTTTTTTCTGAAAGACTGAAGACAGGCACAATTCTCCTAGGCACAGACAGAATGGGTTTTCCTTACAACCTTCCTGCAAACTGGAGGAGACAAGATAATTACTTTATTGATTCTGTGCATTCCCTGGCCTAGTATGCATGCATTTTGGGCACAGTTAGCTCTGAAAGTTCCAAGCAGAATAGGTAGATCAATAAAGGTATTATATATATAGTAGTGACCTTCTAAGCCTGGATGTGAAAACAGCTTCATTATAACAGACATTTCAAAATACTTATGCAGCAAGAAGACAATAGACTTTTCAACTAAGTATCAGTTGAAAATCAGAGATCTGAATGCACTGACTAAATTATTGCCTAGTGTTCCAGAAAGATGCCTGCCACCAACGCGCTAGAAAGGCACCAAAATTTAGTGTGAACGTAAATAAGGAGCTCATCCTATGAGCATGGGAATAGCAATCCTGAAACACAATTTGCCAGTCTCTACTCCTTTATGGCTAAATATTACTTGAGCAAAGAACTAAGACCAGAAAAGTTATTGAACCTCAAGTACTGCTCTGTTTAGTTTCTATTTCAAAAAGCTCAAGTTTTATAACTGTTATTGATGATTTCTGGAAATTATATTTAAGAACTCTGTATTCACAGGTGTTTGATGCTGTTCTTCATGGATGCAATCTTCTATTTACAGTCCAAATCATTTAAATACAGCCATTACATAGTTGTTGGGTATTTTAAAATAAAAGGTTATCTATTTCTTAATTGCCTCTTGAATTAGAAATTGTAATTACATGAGTCTCAAAGGCTGGCTCTTTGTGTTTTATTAATTATTTTTGTTGGTCTCCATCACAGATGGAATTTTTCACTGATAATTCCTCAGAACTAAATCCATTCATACGGAATTCAGAGCAGTGAAAACAGATTTCACGCCATAGAGTAGGAAATGATAACAACAATAAAAAGGGGCATGAAGGATTTGGGGACAGCCAACAGGACTAGGTCAGTTCTCAACTGGTGTTGGATTCTGCAGAGGTTGGCTCATTATAACCTGTACAACATAGTCCTTTGGGATCTTCAGCTCTTCCAATTTCATTTTGTCAGTGAGAGGTCTGCCAGAAAAGAACCACCGCTGACTAGCTGGTTCCACTCCTTCCGCAGCATGCAGCCGTCTCTTCATGTGGTACACTGTGTCTGTGCTGCGGACCACAAGCTTGAGGTCTTTGCCAGTGGAGAGGCGCAAACGGAGCTGAGATTCATGCCCAGAATTGGGCGGAGGCTCAGGAATATCCAGAGTCTCTATGTCGCTCTTTTCCTCTATCATGTTGATTGGTGGTGCCAAGCAATAGACTGGAAGCTGGTATCTATTCCCCAGTTCATCATAGCACTCTGTGAGTGCACCTTCAGAAAGGGAAGAAATGAAAAAGGGTTTAGCCTAAATGAATGCATTTTTCTTTACATCATGCAAATGCTCAAATATCGCACTGGCTTGCCACTTAAAAGGGAAAAAAATGTAAAATAAGACCAATCTCTTTCAGTGGTCAACGACCACTATCAAGGCCCGTGACCAATTATCTGAAAAAGTGAAAGTGTTAGCTAGTCGCTCAGTCGTGTCCGATTCTTTGCAACCCCGTGGACTGTAGCCTGCCAGGCGCCTCTGTCCATGGGATTCTCCAGGCAAGAATAGTGGAGTGGGTAGCCATTTCCTTCTCCAGGGGCTCTTTCTGACCCAGGGATCATACCTGGGTCTCCTGCGTTGCAGGCAAATTCTTTGCTGTCTGAGCCACCGGGGAAGCCCCCAATTATCTGAGTGTTTATCAAATGAACCAGGGCCCTAGCTCCTTACCCTCACACTTCTAAGTCATTTCATACCTAATTTACATTTTCATTTAAAAAAAAAGGGGGAAAAAAGCACACAAAATCCCAATTTACTAATATATCAATGCTCAGACCAAATTAAGGGGAAATTCAAACTACAGTGGGATATCTTTTTAGGAAATGAATCAATTAACCTTAAAAAAAAAAAAAACCAGATCTCTAAGCCCAATTCTCCACAATAGTGTCCCAGAGTGGTTCTCTTAATGCCTAGACTTCCTTCGCCAGAAGACCTCAGTAGAAAGAAATCACAAACTAGAGATGACAAGCTTACCAGCTGCCACTGGCTCATGGCTTATATATGAATCTCATTAGCACAATTACCACAGAAGTGACTGAGGTGTTTTATTTATCCTAATTATTAGTCAATCTGTTACAAAGAAACTATGGGTTAAAAAGGAAGAACAAAAGGAGTATGAAGTTTATAACCCACTGCTAAGGGGAGGGGATAAAAAGTGTCTGCAGTTTAAAAGAAGATATTCCATGGTTAATTTCTTTATAAACTGCATTGTAATTACCAGAGCTTCCCTTGGGGAACTTGAGGGCATACTGAATGAATGCTTTATTGTAAGGTATTCATAATGTGTCCCTTGTTCAATATAGATAAAAACCAAAAACATCTATATACAAAACACTCATACACAGGCTAATGAATATGGGAAGTGGGACACTGAGAAATGGTTATCAATGAACAGGTGAGTTAATAAACTGATCTCTGTGGCCACTATCAATAGGCTGAAAATACAAAGAATCCCACATGAGACTGGAACAGTCACCAAGGCACCCAGGGTTGACCTGGGCATGCTTTCTGTGTTACGTAAGATGGGCTGGAGTGAGACCTCAGTCACCAAGTATTGATACACGTGAATCTCCCCTTCCTCTGTGTTTAATGTGCAGCCTCTGTGTTGTTCACTAATTAATCTGAACACTGCTATGACACTGTGAAGATGGGTATGTTTCAAGCCTAGTTGTGATCACCAGCAGTTTCCTACACTAGTAGCCATCACACTGTAGTATGCTAATTATAAAATCAGTTGTGCAAACTTCACTGTGTACATACTTGATATATAGCCTTGTTCTAAGGCAAAGAAACCTACCAGTGTCTTTCAGATGGCCTGACCATTAGGAAAACTAGCAAAGAGAAGGTGGAGAGTTCACTACAGACTCATCATCTCTCTCAGGAAAATACCTTCAGATACACATCCCACTGATACCAGCCTGATAGGTACAAGAGCATATAAATATTTACATGCGTGCACGCTAAGATCCTTCAGTCGTGTCTGACTCTGTGCAACTCCATGGACCGCAGCCCGCCATGGCTCCTCTGTCCATGGGGTTCTCCAGGCAAGAATACTAGAGTGGGTTGCAATGCCCTCCTCCAGGGGATCTTCCCGACCCAGGGATTGAACCAGTCTCCTGTGTCTCCTGCACTGCAGGCAGATTCTTTACCGTTGAGTCACCGGGGAAGCCCATATATTTACATAACTGTTCTGCTAAAAAAACGTTCTCTTAGAGAGGCACCATTCTACACCTTGGTTTTTGGTTGCTTTTTTTTGACCAGGATCTTAGCTCCCTGACCAGGATCAAATCCGAGCACCCCCTGCAGTGGAAGCGGGAAGTCTTAAATGCCAGGGAAGTCCCAAGAGACCTTACTTTTGGAATCAGGAGACCATGACGATATTCCCAGCCTTGTTATTAATTAGGTGTACAACCTCGAGCAACATTCTTTAACCTCAAATACTTTTCTCAATTAGCTAAATGAGGCAGGATAAAAATGACCTCTAAATTGGTTTCTAGGTTCATACACACTGCTTCATATTCATGTACCACAAGAGATAGAAAACAGGAAAGCAAACCAAAGCTGTCAAACTAGGCAGAATCATGTCTTGACCAAAAGACAGCCTACGTTTTTAGCCTCCCAGGAAACAAGGATGAGGCAGCTTCTTGTACAGGGCTGAAACAGTAGTGCGAGCCAACCTTAAAACAGATGTACAGTCTACCAGGCATTGTGACTCTTCCTAGATCTGAATACTCCCTTCTTCATCACAATGGAAAGCTGAGTCTTTCCCCATCTGCCCTTCAGCCCAGTAAGTCCAGGGTTCAGTTTTCAGATTCAAATGGGTGAGAATAAAAACTCTATGGATGAGGTACTGCTGGATGGCATATCTTCTTATTCCAGCTCAGGGAGCCTCACATCTAAATGCTGGAAATAAACTATCCAGATTCTACTGCTAAGAAGCTCCTATATTCTGATATTTTTGGTAAAAGTAACTTCAATTTATCTAAGATGAAATTTTCTGGTTTACTCTGTTCTTCACTTCTGCCAGTCAAATTATATTGCAAACTGAATTATAAATATGTTCCAGTTTTAGATTAAACTAAAAAATAAATATGTAAAAAATTCAGGCCATGAAGTCAAATATTATTTAATTATATTTTTAGGCTAGTTTTATGGGTTACCCTCTACCCACATTAAATATCTGAGATCATAAAGTATCAAAAAATAAATCAATATAGACCAGAGCTGAGTACTACCCCAGAATTACCTATATAGAGCAGAATGACTCCTCTGTAGGCTCAAACTCTTTTGAACAATACATTCCCAAATCCCCCACCATTTTATGGCCCCGTAACTTTTTATTAAAGACGAAACTAACGGTGGTCTCTATCAGTTACTAAACGCCCAGAAGTGTTAGGGTATGTCACTGGTGCTGAGTACAGAAGGTTACAAGAAAGCCAAGACTGTCCTTGATCCCCAGGAGCTTATTATCAAGGAAAACAGACACGGCATAACCACCAGGGATTTAAATACAAATTGATGCACTGAAAACCAGACACAGGGGCCAAGATATCACACAACAGTAATGGGACTAGAGTTGGCAGAGCCAAGAAAGAAACAATTCTATAAAAACTGTGTGCTCTAAGCGTGACACAGGGTGGTTCTCTGGTGGCTCAGGCAGTAAAGAGTCTGCCTGAAATCCAGGAGGCCTGGGTTCAATCCCTGGGTCGGGAAGATCCCCTGGAGAAGGGAATGGCTACCCACTCCAGGATTCCTGCCTGGAGAATTCCATGGGCAGAGGAGCCTGGGAAGCTACATACAGTCCACGGGGTCTCAAACAGTCAGACATGACTGCACAACTAACACTTTACTTCACTACAGGCATGACAATACAAACGAAGGGCATCCCAAGTAATATGGATTATATGGAAACAAGAATTAATATAAGTATGGAATAAAAAGTGGCTTTACTGAGGTGAAATACAGAATCAACTGTGTGAAATTACTAAACAGCAACAGTGAAAATCTAATAGAAGGCTTAGGGAGTTTAGACTTAATACTATAGAAAATTTCTAAAGATGTTTGCCATGAATCACTCCTACAAATACTGAGTGCCTACTATATGCCAAGCAATATTATGCCAGTGAACAAGACAAAGCCTAAAGATTCTTTAATCATTTGCAGGAAGTGAGAGTGATTGACTGGAGTTAGGGGAACCAGCTAAAACGACTGCCTGACAATGGAAAGACATGGGTCTGAAAGAACTGGTGGTGACCGGCAGGACCTAGTGATAGAGTGTGTGCTTAGCCTCAGAGACTCAGTCGTGTCTGACTCTTTGCAGCCCCATGGACTGCAGCCTGCCAGGCCCCTCTGTCCATGGAGATTCTCCAGGCAAGAATCCTGGAGGGGGTTGCCATGCTCTCCTCCAGGGGATCTTCCCAACCCAGAGATCGAACCCAGGTCTCCCGCAATGCAGGCGGATTCTTTACCGTCCAAGCCACCAGGGAAGCCCAGTGACAGTTTAGGAAAGGCAAATCACCTAACTAGGAAATGAGACTGATAAAGAATTCAGGGTTATAAGATTCTTTGCTTAGTCTTAACTGCTACAGGTATGGGGAGATACTTCAATTGAGTTATCTGAAGGTAACTGAAGAAGCATATTGGGGAAAAGGTAAAAGCAGTGTGTACAGTAATAATCTTGAATGTACAAGCTTAAACATAAAAGCAAACACTTAAAAAAAGACAGCTTACTAGCTCTGTCTGAGCACTTTATATACATTGACATTTAATCCTCACAATGACCCTGTAAAGTAAGTTTATCATACTCATTTTACAAATGGGAAAACTGAAGAAGAGAGAGGTAACTTGTCCAGGGTCAGAGAGTAACAAAGTAGAATAATCTGATTCCTGAATAAGTAAATATCCCACACGGATAAGGCTTCAGGGCTTGTGACAGCTCTACTGGACTCAGGTTAATGATATGGCTAGTGGGAAGAAGAAACGCTCTGGGGAAAAGGCAAAGGACAAATACAAGAGGGATGAAAAGCCAAACATGAATCACAAGGCGCGGCGCAGCCCAAAAATACATTTGCCGGTGCTGTTAGTGACCGAGCAAAGGAGGACATAGAAGAGGAGGCAAAAGGAAGTGGTGACTAAGAAGTTTCAGTGCTCTGAAGCCACCACATGTAGTGACAAAATGGACATATTGCTGTCACTGTTTCATTTACAATATTTGAGAGGAGCGTGT